GGAAAGGGAAAATAGAAGCATTTTTTGTGCATTTCATATGGCTTCCTCTGATGCTTTATTGGGTCGGTTTTCAGTATAAAATCAGGTAATGTGGAATCTGATGTGTATTTGGAGAACACAGCTGGGCAAGTATGCCAGTTGACTATCTGCAAATGTCAGCATGAATTTAAGCTGGCCCTGGCGATGTCTAGGTGAAGGTGATTGGGGTTGTTTCTGCTCTATGGAGCTAAGAAATACTTGAGTTACCTGCTACAAAAAATCTCACATCCAATAACATTCTATCATTAATGGTAATCAGAAGAGATTCTTTGGTCTGAGCTCAGCTGAAAAAAAAAGCTGTTTTCCTACAAACCACACAAATTCTTGATTTGATTGCCATTTTGACTGAAACAACTTGATTCTGTTGATATTAAAACTCTATTTCTGGGTCTGTCCTTTTTTTTTTTCTTATGAATAGCCTTTAAGTAAAAAGGGAACACTGTAAAAGCTGGTAAAATTATGTGCCTGAAAGGTAAGACTTTCAATTTTTCCAAACTCTGTAGTTCTGTTTAACTCTCCATTTGATAAAAATGAATCTATTACATTCTTAACAGCCATTATTTCCAAGTTAGGGCACAAATTCTCTCTATTTCTTTTATAATCTGAAATAAAAATATTGAAGTAGTTACAAAAGTCATATGCTTAGTCCTCTTAAATGAAACCTCAAATTGCACGGTGTCCCTGTTTTGCTGAGTTTCAATGATTATCAGAGCTTTCAGGCATCATGGTAGAAATCTTTTAATGAACTGGTTTACTTCCTCTTTCTTTATATCATTTCTTTTTTAAAAAACAGTATTATCATTTCATTTTGTGCAAATTCCTATTTCAATTTGACCTTGAATAAACCCAAAGCACATTTCAAATGAGGGACTGCAAATAAATACCTTAATCCCATAATTGATAAGTAAATTAAAATGATACAACAAAGTTGGAGGAGTACTGCATGTTTGAATTTGAACACTTCTTTTGTTTTTGTCACCTATTATTGGGAACTTAGTATTAGATTGTTTTTTCTGCAGATTTTTACAGAACTGGAAGCTGATTTCAAATTTGATGGGTAGCATTTTAGTTGTATTTTTTATTACCACAAACCCTAACTGTCCATTTTAGTGGAGACCATACCCTTTTGCCATATGTTCTTTTGCTGTTATGTTTTTTCAAATATGTTGCTTCCAGACTGCATTTGAGTCCATGCAACGACTTGGCATTTAGTAGGAATAATTTTACTGGTCCAGATACACAGCATTCCTAAGAAAATAATTTGTCCACGTCACAGGTCACAAGGAGCGAGCACTGCAGTCCTTGATTTGATGTCTGAGGCACTCAGAACTACCTGAAGAATGTATGTTGACTGTGTGTTAAGTACAGGGAGCTAGAGAGAAAAAAAAGCAGCAAATAGAAGGAGAAACTAACCTCTGTCACAGGAGTAAAATAAAAGAAAATCTCAAGTTTTACCAAATCAAAGATAGAGCAGTGTTACTACTGAAAAACATCAGTGTTTTGATGGAGGCATTCTATATGCTAAAAAGAAATCACCAAAGTTGTTTTCATGCAATGAGGAGGAAAACTATTGGCAGGCACAGACATAGACGTGCTTCTGCATTAATTGACTACCTCTTTCTGCTGAAGTAGGAGCAGGCAATTAAAAGATTAATTACAACAGAGAGTGGTAATGTATTCAAAAGTCCTATAATAAGATCTCCGCACAAATGTTGACTTCTTTGGATGCAAATTCTTGTGTAGCACAAAGAAATAGTTATAATAAATAGAAGGCAGGCTGCTGACCTGTTTGAAGATTAAAAATATATAACATTTGACAATGACCTTATTATAATATAAAAAAGAGTGTTCATGAATTAGTTTAACTTTGTAAAACTATTCTTTAAAGTATTTTGGTGTGTTCCCTTCACCTGGTATCCCCCTCCTTAATGTGGACTTATGAACTTAGGTTTTATTAGCATTAGTTTAATGCACCTTACTAAGAAATTCAGCAGCTGGGGAACAGCATGAATTTGTCAATGTAGGTAGGTTGGTTTGGAGTTGGCTTTCTCGTACATTTTACATGCTTTCTTTTCATTACTTTTATTTTTTAAGTACAGCTTATAATTTTCTTCATAATACCATTTTCAGCATTTCTTCTTAGCTTTTTTTATCAGTGCAGCACAGCTAGAAAAAAACTAAACATTTTATACTGATGGATTGATTTTAGAACAATGCATAATCTATTTTTCACTTTCTAGACTCACCTTTCACTTCAGGACCTTTAAAATCGAATGTGGCATACCTGCCACTATATTTTTATCATAATGTTTAGATTTGGGTAACTGTGTGTGAATTAAACTCCATTTGTAGTGAACTTCTGTGTTGGTTTTGGCTGGGATAAGAGCTAATTTTCTTCATAGCAGCTGCTATGGTTCTGTGTTTTGGATTTGTGACCAAAAGCAGTGCTGATAACATGGAGATGTTTTAGCCATTGCTGAGCATTGCTTACATAGCATAAAGGCCTTTCTTGCTCCTTACACCACCCACCAGTGAGTAGGCTGGAGATGCACAAGAATTTGAGAAGGGACACAACTGGAACAGATGACCCCAACTGACCAAAGAGTTATCCCATACCTTATGGAGTCATGCTCAGCACATAAAGCTGAGGGAAGAAGGAGGAAGAGGGGGGATGTTCAGAGTAATTGCATTGGTCTTCTCTGGTTGTTGTTTTATGCGATGGAGCCCTGCTTTCCTGGGACTGGCTGAACACCTACCTGCCCATGGGAAGTGTTGAATTAATTCTTTGTTTTGTTTTGGTTGCACACACGGCTTTTACTATCCCTATCAAACTGTATTCATCTCAATCCACAGGTTTTCTCACTTGTACCCTTCCACTTCTCTTTCCCCCCCCTCCCTACCAGGAGGGAGGGAGGGAGGGAGGGAGGGAGGGAGTGAGTGAGTGAGTGAGTGAGTGAGTGAGTGAGTGAGTGAGTGAGTGAGTGAATGGTTGTGTGGGGCTGAGCTGCTAGCTGAGGTTAAGACAAGACAAACTCTAAATGAAGGATGAACATTTCAGACATTGACTTTACTCATAAATGAAGTGGATAAGGTTAAGTACAAAATCTATATTCAATTTTCTGTTGTTTCTAGTTTTACATAACTTGAATAATAACTAAAAAAAAAGTATATAAAATCTTATCCTTGCCTCTACTACATTTATTCATACTATCCATTTCTATGAATTAACTGAATTTTACTTTAATTTTATAATAGGGTGGTTGGATTTTTCTTACGAATATGCGCATTATGATATAAGAAAACCCAAAGGTTTTCGTATCCGTATTAAGTATGGTCCAGAAGATTTAGATTGAATCCAGTCTCTACAACTTTATTTATAACAGTCATCAAAGGAAGGTATATAGATATCCTGTCTTTGACTGTTGCTGGACGTCAGTAAGTTCATGAACCATGCCAAAATATGTTTTAAATAGTAAAGAAAAATTACTAAATACTCGTCTGAACTATTTAGTTAATTTTTGTCAGTGATTTGTGGAGGTTTCGTCGGCTTCATGACAGCTTCATAGTACATCAGCATGTGGTTGTTTGCAGCTGTGGAACAGCTAAACCAAAAAATTAATAGCTTTGCATCTTAATATTTTTTTTATCCTCATTTTTACATAACTGCATTACTTGAAATAGTTCTTTTAAACTTCGAGAAGAAAAACACTAGGTAATGTGCGTCTCAGATCATAGTATCTTTCTAATTGCTTGAAAAAATTAAAATAGGGACCTGCACATTTAAGTTCTGCATGAAGAGTTTTCAAAAAGAGCAGAATAAGCCTAAGTAAAATTAAAGTTTAACCAATATTCCCTTAGATGCAGTTCTTCTATTGTCTCTATAACATACACCTTAAGCATATGTAATGACCGGTTACCAGGTGCCTTGAAAAGTAAGAGTTATGGATGCAATACTCTTCAGTCCTGTTTGTCTTCAGTCCTTCATGTGTCCACATCACCAAAAAAAAAAAAAAAAAAGTAAAATGAACATTTTAATGAACCAACCTAGCTTATTAGCAAGCAATATCTAGATTACTGTTGCCAATTGCATAATACAAATATATGGTATAAGGTAACACTCCTTTCCTTCAGAGTGCTAATCAGCATTGCCACTTCCTTTTGCTGATTACTAGTGAGGAAAAGTAGACCGAGTAATATTTAGCTAGTGAGAACTCTGGACTAACATTTGCTTGTCTCGTGTACACATGACCACTGCATCTTTTGACTGTGATGACATGTGCTCTTGTCAAGGCACTATGTTGTTGGGAGAAACATTTTCTATCTCTGTGAAGATACAGTTAGTGAGCTTATCCTTCTGATCTTTATTTCTTTCAAATAAGTGACTTTAGTTGTTATTGCTTATTTTCTGCCTGTGATTCCAGCAAACACCTGAAGTACAGCATATCTTGTATCTTTATTAGATATTTTTAGCGTAAATGTTCTATTTACTATGTATTGGGGGTTTTTTTTGGTCCTGCATTCTCCCCTCCTACCACATCCTCAGTCTGAATAAATGGAAAGGGACCTCAAGGTACAAAACATATTTTAACTAGACTCTCAAAATTTCATATCTGTAGTTAGCAAATATACAAATAAAATCAATATCTCTTTTTAAAAACAAAGGGGAAAAAATTCTCTATTTCTTAAACACATTAAAAAAGATACATTTAATACAGAAAGCAAAATATATATTAAAAATATATATTCTCTGAAATTCTGAATCATATGTCAGAATATGATAAATTTTATTTTTCAGCATCAGTGTACTTTCACAGGGCAAACAAAAAACGCAACTTGAGAAAGATGTCTGCAGCTCACAGAACATATCACTGCAGGCAAAATGTTTTACCTAGATACAGTAGTTTTATATCAACCTTTATTTAAAGTTGTTTAGGAATCTGGGATATAAACTCACAGGCCTTTTACATAGAAATAATTTGTTTTTTTCTCTGCAATTGGAACTTTCTGTAGCGTTCAAGCTTGCATCCAACTTGGTTGTACCATGGTCTAGAATTTGGCAGTATGTCCTGGAATTCTGTACAGAACAAAAATAAAAATTATCAGGTAGTAGAAATGTAAATTCCCTACAGTAGCACACTGTGTTGAATCATATTGCTTTATTTCATTTTGTTCTCTCTCTTTGCATCAGTACAGATCAAAGAGACACATGAAGTCAAAACCTTTCCCCCCCCAAAAAAGCTATGACCCATCTAAGACGTTACAATGTAGCCATGTGCCATCTGGAAACCTGCACCAGGTACACTTCTGTACCACACGCATAACTGAAAAACAAGAAGACACTCTATTTTTAATGTTTTTATGAAAAGTAAAGTGATTATTCTTTTTTATCTCTTATATTTAAAGGAAAAATGTTATTCTTCATGCACTACAGATAAGATTGCTACTTGCTACAGCCTGTTTGTGTGATTAGTCAGCTTAACAAATCACCTTTCTAGCTGATATATCTTACTGGGATTCAAGCCGGACTGCAAAACAATTAGGTGATTGTGGGTTTTGCTTAACCTTACCAAGTAACCTGGTTAGACAACATACCCAAATTAGAAGTATTTCACATCAGAAACAGCACAGCCACTCAGAATATATTTGAAGGAATTATAAACCAGAGACTCAGTTCCCTGCTCTTTTACTTACTGTCAGTCTGTTTTTGGAACTGTGCGAACAATTCAGCTTTCAGGAGGATGAATGAAGTATGCCTTCACACTTTGCATCAAGTAATTATTTCTTCAAAATAAAATATTCAGAATGTTTATCTTCCTCTACGCCTAAATAAAATACCAAAATAACTGTAAGTAAAATGGCTTGTCACAAACTCTCTTGTGTTGCTGAAATGGCAGACAGAAAGTGAAAACTCAAATATGGTTAGTTTGATAAAAGAGACATCATAAAATAGACTGTGGCTATTTCTGTACTTTTAAGTTCCTCATATAAAGGATAATAACAATAAGCTCCAGTCTTTTCAAAATCTTGGATTATCTAAAATAATTAAAAATGGTAATATAAATAATTTACTTTTAAAGACTAGGAATGAAAAGCCTGGGGATTTTGTTCTCTGCTGGACAGTCTGACACACATAATACAAAAAAATATTTTGGTACAGCTCTAAGAGGAGCTTGACCACAGAAGCTTGATATAACCTTGCATTTGCCAGTCTGTACTCCTAGATAGCCCGAATAGTTACTAATGTAGATCTAAGTATGAAAATTTTTATGTTATGAAAAGGTAATTAAATCAAGAAGTTAGCATGTATCTAGATTCTCGAAGTACCATGACCTTTTTTTTTCTGCCCAAATTAATACTTGAGATTTAAAGGTAACACTTCTTATGGCATATCAATTTCAACAATTATCATTAAAGGTTTCTCTATTTTAAAGTTTTACTATGAAGTGGTTTTCCTTTAGATGGAGGAGAGAAGATGGTGCAGAAACAACATTCTTTAAACTTTCAGAACTATGAGTTTCAAAATTGTGTGTGATCTCTGCAAAGCTTGCAGGAAGAGCATTTCACTTCAATGTGGGCAAAATTTCTTCTTCTCAAAGTCAATATTCCTCCTTATTGTTCCTGATTCATGGAAAACTATTGAGAGATGGGGTAAAAGCATGCAAGTTCCTGTGCTTTCTGTACAGATGGCATTCCTGTATGTCCCTTAGACCAGATATAGGTACATCTTGTCCCAGTTTTCACAAAGTCATACTAGAATCTGCAGTTTCCCTAAAACTGAATGGAGGGGAGGGTGGAGATCATAGTATTTGAAGGGAAGAAGCAATTTAACGCAAAGTCACTATGTCAGAACCGTCCTGTTTTTAAATGATAGTTACATACTGTTAGTCTGGACTGCACAGTGTTTTTTGGATATCTGTTCTTGACAGATTTTTTACTGTGTTTGTGTGGATAGCTGGTTTGTTGGTTTGGTGGCTGAAATAAAAAAAAAACTTTTTTTCCTTTTTTGCAAGTCACACAGAATATCTCATTTGACCCAAATGAAATGTATAAATTTGCAGATATTTCACAGATCTATTTCTTCTGTGAGTAAATCACTCTGTTCAGAAACAGTTCAGATGACTTTGACCTTGAACAAAGAAATTATTCATCTGAAAATTTGGTCCCAATCCTGACTAGCATTGCACAGTATTAGACTCCTGAAGTCCAAATATACTAAGTTTAATTACTTTGTTTCATATCTTTTGAATAATATACATTCCTAGGAAACTACTGGGTACAAAGCACAGCAACTCCATTGTTTAACGAGTAAGGTTACTATGGTGGTTGAAGTCCTTTTTACTATGCTTTAGTGTCCTTCAGGGACCCTGGTGAGAATCTTGGCTTTAATATTCAAAGCTCTTTATGCGACTAGACCGTACCATTTCAGACTGGATAACATTTTCTCTTCCTCAGGTTAACCCTGATTATTGGTGTGACCTGATGATAGAAGTGTAGAAAATTGCAGAAATATTGTGATGAATGTTAATTTTGACCTTTCTTCTCCACTGAAATATCCTGTCAATTTTATTAAGGAGGACTTCTAAAGGTTGAAGAGTTTTTTGTTGTTATAGAGAATAAATGCACATTATTTATTTGATTTTGTTTATGATATGCAGGTAGCATTCACAACATCTCTGACGAGCATCAGATTTTGACAACAATTTGTCACAATACCAGAGGAGGTGGGGGAGAAGTTGGTAAAATATGTTCTTAATTTGACTTCATAGATATCTTGATATGTTGTCTGGAAATCAGGCAAGATTTCAGCAATTTTGTCTTTCACTGGAATATCAGATCTATTAGAAAACAATAGGAGTCAGCGCTGCATTCCCTGAGGCTTCTCATGCATCTGATTTCCCTCTCAGTAACCTTTCAAAATCAGTCACAGATGCTCTTATTCTAGATTATAGTGGCATCTAACCTTTGTAAACTTGGACACTGGAGAGAATTAAAAAAGCAGAGTGTAAAAAGAGATACGATCTTCCATTTCAAAATGTTATCATTTCTGAAAGCAGCAACTATTTCATGACCTATAAAGTTCAAAGTTGTGCTAGCTTACTTTTCCCTTCTCTTTTCTAATCTTTTAACCTTGATCATTGCTTATGCTTGTTCATATTAGTTCTTAATTTCTCACTTTTTATATGTTTTTTAAAATGCAGAAAAATGGGTGCTCTGTAGAAATACACTGAACTACTTTAATTAAATGCAGTGGGCTAATACCCTTACTACTGCAGAATTTAATTAGAATCTGGTAGAACTATTTGCAGTAACAGAGTTCATTCTCTCTGGTTCTTAAAAACACTGGCTTTTTTAACAAAGGGGCATAATAACATATCATATTTAGCAGATGACCAAAATAGTAAAATTGGGCAAACTTTCTATGTATCTTTACAGTTGCTTTACCTATTAAATGCTGTTTATCTCAACCCATGAATTTTCTCACTTTTATCCTTTCCATTCTCTTTCCCATCCCACTGAGAAGGAGTGAGTGAGCAGCTGGGTGGGGCTGAGCTGACTACCCACAACATTTAGACAGTAGTCCATAACCTAAGCCAGAACTGTCACCATAGCTACCAAAAGGACAGCATGATCAAAACATTATCTAAAAATTAAAAAAAAAAAAGTCAAAATACAAAACCACCTAAAACTTGCTATAATTCTTAGGTTCTAATATGAGCATCTCCAAGCCAAGTATGTACAAGGGTCTAATAAAAGAAAATATGCCTTCAGAATTGTAGTTTTCCTGATAAATATCACTCGATATATATGAAAAGAAACAAAAGCCCCAAATAACTACAAAAACAAACAAACAAAACCTAAACCACAACCCCACTTCTGTTTAAAATTTTGCTTAGAAAATAAAGGAGGAACACCAGATAGATGGAGAAAACTGCCTTTTTCTTTTGACTTGTTTCCATTTTGAGCAGATTCATCATCTCTTTGCCTGGTGCCACGGTCAGCACATCTAGAGAGTACGAAGGTAGAAACAGCTCGAGATTAATCCCTTGGGAAGAGACTTTCTAAACTTCATAGATTCTTGTTGCAGTGTGTTAGCCATCTTTAAAGGTCTCTCTGTCATCTTTCAGCCATACTCCTGTTACCTTCTATTTCATACAATAATAAAATGGGAGAAGAAAATGTGTCAGCAGGTAGATAATGCTGTGGGTGAAGTCATACCCTTATTGCAGTGTTTATACCAAGTAGAGGAAGCTTGTCTTATTTTATCCTTTCTTTTTTTCCCCCCATTTTTTAGCTGTTCGAATGTTTTATCCAATTACTGCCATAATTTCTTGAGTTAGAGTTTGTTCATACAAAATTTGTGAATAAAGATCTACCATGTAGCTATCTTTTCTTTCTGAATGTTTTCTTTCTCCTTTCTGTGGCTTTTCTGTAGTTTTTATTCCAAAGTTTAATCCTGTTGTCTATGGATCGCAATGATGACAGGTGGGAAGAACTGGCAGAAGGTAATCTTATACAGGCATCATGCATCTATTGCTACTGCAAAATTTTCACTTTAGAATTCATTTGTGGTATCTTCTGCAATTCCTGTAGGAATGGTAAATGATGTATGAAATGAAACATTTTTGTTGACTGATTTTACTGAGAATTCAGAGAATGATGTTGTAGTCACTACTGAGGCATATTTATCTTATTTGCCATAATACTCGATATTAAGACAAGCTGTCAAAAGTTTACTTGGATAAAAACTGTTAGAGAATGAGGGTAAGGGATTTTTAGGGCAAATAGACTATTCTCAGGAAAATCAAAAGAAAAGTAAAGCAGTATTGTCACTGAACAACCCAGCTGTTAGACTTCATCTTGGAAGTAGGTCACCTTTTCTGAAGAAGGATGAGATTGCCCTAGAGATGGAGCAATTTAAGGTTAAGGCAATATCAGGTGTTAAAAATCCATATTAGAAATGAAGTTTGCACCTATTATGAGAAGCAGAGGTCAGAGACTATAATATCATGTAATTTTAGTTATGATTACAACAAAAACAGAAAATTCAACCAGATTAAGAGCTTAATGCTTATTTTCTATATGTAAATCATTGTGTTCTGTAATTTGCTTTTCTCTTTCTCTTGAATTAGACCCTCAAAAGTTTTTCGTTTTGAACTACTGAGAGATGTAGACTCAAAGCAACCTACTGGCAATAGGCTAGCTTTTCTTCAGCTTGTGTGAACCCCTAAGACTTCAAGACTGTATGAAGAGTAGGTTTAAAACCATTGTTTTGTGGTAGTGTGTCTTACTGTTTTAAAAAGTAACAAAAATGGTGAAGTATTTTCTTTTAAAGGTGAGTGAACACACATACATGCAGAAATACTGACATCTGCATTCAAATTTTCTGATATAATCTGCTCACTTGATCTACTCAGATTTACTTTCATCTTCACAGCAGCTGTGACTAGTATCATTACTGTTGAGGTCCTTTACTTACTGGTCTTACTTGTGTTCTCCGTTGTTGCTCTTTTGACCTCTGCACTTGAAACTGTCAGTGCTGAGAACTGACAAGTTTTTGCAGAACCAAAGTCAAAGACTTATTTCTCTGCTTCCTCACTATAATTATTTCTTCTCACCTGCTTTAAATCAGAGATTAGAAAAAGAAGTGACACAAAGTATGCATCAGTTCAACAAATAACTCATGATGCAGCTACGATTTTGTTGGTGATGTCTTTCTGCCAAGGCATTAGATTTGTTTTACAGGGGAGAACGCTGCTCCATTTAGTATAGGAGTAGAAGCACTGATCTCTGGGTTCTTTTTCCCTTCCCTGAAGATTTTCAGTAGAACTTTGGTAACTTCATTATCATATCCGTAAAGCAGTCAATATATCTTACCATTTTTAATGATATTTGGAATATTTACTGTGGAAATTACCTCCCTAGTTTCTTCATGAAAAAGATCTAATTATAAGAGAACAAATATGGTGAAACAGAGAAATGTGGAAGTGTCCCCACTTTTCTTCAGAATGGTCATTTTTATTGGGTTAAGCTTTCTGGAAAATACACATTGCCCATGTTTTCTGGAGTCTCAGGGGTTAAACAGAAATCTGCTATCAAAGACATGGAAGATTATCCAGAAGATAGTTTGTTTTCTCATTTTTCACAAGAAAGTGAAAAAAATGTATAGGCTTCCATCCTTGACTGTTCTTAACCAGAATAGTTAGAACAGAAAGGAAAAATACTTTATGAATTTTAACTTCTCTTATGTAAGTAGAAGAACAAAGCAAACCTGTTTAAATACAGAACAAGTGCTCACCTTTTCAAGTAACCAGGCCATAACAAGCAAATTTTTATCTTTTTTTTTATCTGTGATGAGGACATAGTTACTTAACACCTGAAAAGAAAGTATAATGAAAACATTTTTTTAATTCTTCTTGTTGTCCCATAGTTTCATCTCTCTTTATTTTTTTCTCTTTTCATCTTAAGGCGTATTTTTCCTGTTCTTCACTTAGTAATAGCAGATGCTGTACTCTGATAAACTTTGTCTCATTAAGTGTTAGTGTCTGGTACAGCCCCAGTAGCCCTCAACAAGACTCATCAGAGGCACAGAGCAGATCGAAAAGCAATTAGCATTCTGGCTTGTGATAATTACCCACAGTATGGGAGGCTTATCCAAGATGTAGTTTCCACTGTGTCTAATAACAGGATTCTTTAAACACTGATATATTTTCATGGACACACCAGTGCTCTCATTTCAATTCTGTCACTTATCTCAGATAGGGGAAATAAACATCCCTCACACATTTTTTTCTGTCATAAAGAAAAGTACACTGCTGTTCTGACAACTTGTAATGTCACCTAAAAGTCACCTTGAATCATGTTTTAATCAGCTGGAACAAGGCAACATCTCATTTATTTCTGCAGTTTCCTTGCTCTGCAATGCACTGATTGCCAAGACATAGAAATCCAAATTGAGCTCTGATTAAAATGGAATGAGGATGCAGATGCTGCCGTTGGTTCAGAGGGGCACTCTGCTCTGTGCTAGGAAAGGTCAAGGTGATACAAGTTCCAATTAAACCAGAAAGATTTGCTGCAGTCCGTGAATATGTTGCATTGAAACAAGTTTATACTGTGACAGATTGAATAATTTTTGATTCGTCTTTCATCTATTAGCTTTTATTAGCACAAGAGCTTGCTTAAAAACCAAGTCAGTATTTTTCACATCCTGCAGTAAGGTACAATCCCGATCTCATGAAAGTATTGTTTCAGAAGCTTAGAAATCATCCACCACCTCCCATATGTAGACAATACTCCAAAACTGTTTGACATTTTTGTCAGTTTTGATTTACTGTTGAATTTTAACACCTAGATAAATAAATAATTAGTTCAAACACACTTTTATTTCTAACTTAATCTAAAGACACAATATACAAATGAATGGGTGATTGTGTAGGTGGGCTAGAAATGAGACACCCATGTTGTCTTTAACTCTTAGCTAAATATAGCTAAAAACGAAATGATTACAATAATAACCCACATCACACAGAGACTTTAAAAATAGACACTGATGGTTGAGTTGCAGTATACAGAAATCATAACTCATTTATACACTTGGGTTATGTCTGTTACAAGACTATACATTTATTGGTAACATTTTACAATAGATGAAGTTGCCTATTAATTCAAGTACACTCCTGTAAACCCTGTGGCTACCAATATGAAAGAAGCAACATGATGCTATTCTTAGCTGCAGAAAACATGTTTTGAGTTTTGGCAAAGCAGTTCTATCATATTATTGAGCTAGAAAGTGTAGTAACACAAAGTGACTCGATTCCGAAAAATCCGGTATAAAGAACTGCTCAGAGAATTTTGGATCTTTTGAGCAGCAAAGGTATTTACTGCCGATGTCGGGAGCAAGCGTGGTTTACACCACAGAGAACTTGCTCAAAGGTTTCACACAAAATCAGGGGGCTTTATACAATTTTCATATATGATTAAATGCATATTCATACTATTACAACATCTATCTATACATATTAATAACAGGCGGAGTATAGGTGGAGCTCAGACAGAACTTGGGGCGGTGCTTCTCTTGGCCCTCAGTTTTGGCAGGGGTTTCATTCTTCATCCCGTTGGTCTGGGGTCTTTGCTCCACTTCGTCACCCTGATCTTTCTACCTTTCCATTGTTCTCGACCAGCTACGTGAAGCTTGGAGAAAGCCCTGGATCCAGGCCTATTTCTCCTATTCAAATGTCTACCTTATCTTACTGTATCCTAATTTATTACCTCTAGGCCTATTGTATATTGCCTCTAACATTCTTCCAAGTTTTGGTCCAGTAAGCAGAACAGAGCAGGCCTTAGCAACACAGACCAACTAGAAGTTAAGAGGTCTCTTAGTAGGCCCAGATCTTTCAGTTAACTCTTTTGGGCCTAGCTTCTTGTATCAGACTTTAAAATTTACCATCTGGAACTTTCCAGGAAAAAGTAACAGGAAAAGACTGAGGAGTGGGCTAATTTAAACACTGATTCTACTTGGAGGCTAGTGTGAACACATTGGAAGAATATGGTAGGGGTTTTTTATTTTTTTTTCTTTTCTGAGAATATTGACAATGCTGGAAATATTGTGATGGGACATTTTTCTGAATTAATGACTGATGTGAAATACAGTACAGTGCCAGTGTAACTCCTTACCCTTACACCAGAGGAGGCAATAGGAAAGGGGAGTGAAAGTGAACTATATCTGACACTGCTTCATAAACTGAACATGAGGTTGGAAGTGTGATGACATATTAATGAGTAAAACATGAGAGCTACTCTCCATTTGCAGACCAAAACTATGCAAAAGTACTAAGCAGGAAATTGTTAGGACTGAAGAAAAGGTCTTGTCGAACATACTCATGGGAATGGATTTCTGAATAGTATTACTGACAATGCAACAGTGACCCATTTGATCTTTTCTTTCTGAGAACGTGGTAGTTAAAAGGTTCAGCCTTTCTCTATGACTTTGGTTATGTAGCTTAGCTTTCATAGGCCTAGGTGTGGTGAGATCGCAGACTTTGGCTCATCTGTAGTTTCAGTCCTTGACCAAGACCATTATTCAAAGAAAACAGTACTTATACTGTATTAGAAAATTAAGCTTATCCATGAAACATTTGTTGAGTGGTCTGTCATTGACACAAACTGTAGTCCCCAAAAAACAAAATTCAGCTCTGATCTGCATAGGCTTGGGAAGACAAGTTAGTAATGAGTGTGGCAGTAAGCAGAGGGTAACTAGTGTTTTAATGCCCATTGTGCCTCTTAAAATCTTTCCCTTATCCTATAACCCATATGCAGTGTCCTGTTGAAAGATTTGAGGATGCTAAATTATATCTCATTTTTCTAGATGATCACATAGACAAAAACTAATTCCTTGAATCTACAGACATTAGCAAAGGAAAGCCTACCCATTTTTTAAATAGATATTTTCTTATGGTTTACTCAAAATTTATAGTATTTCTCAGCCCTGTTTTATGATGTCAGTGGAAAGTATTTATCACACAGGCTTAAGGACTAAGTATGTCTATCCATATTTGAATATCCTTAACAATAAATGAAATGTGTTGAATATTAATGACAGTGACAAAATCATATAATTCAAAATTTCACTAGCATAATACCTGATAGTTTAATAGCATTTAGGGGCTTTAATTTTGAGACTCATTTCATACTTTTTATAATTCAATAGTTATGGTTGTTTAACCAGCTTTTTCAGTGGTTTTCCACTTTACTGAGGCTACAATCCTGTTAATAAATTAACTTGTCTAATTTTCTGCCCCTGACAACAAGTGGCATGCTGCCATTTTTATGTGTACCCTTTCCACACTGCATTCCCTTGGGTCGATACATGAACCCTTGTATCTTATTGAATACAAAGACCTTTCCACGTCAACATGGGACACTGTCCTCACAGTTTAACTCACTTCCCTTAAAAAAAAACAGGTAATCTTCTCCAGATAGGCTGCTGTCAATCCTCAGTCTTTGTACAAGTGTTTTCTCTGAAGGTGCTAATTAGGCATGTTCCGTGTCAAAGTGCAGGCCAACAGTTAGGCAGTATGTATGATCATATGCCACCACTTCAGGCTAGGACCTGACCAAAAATACTTTACTAGGAAAAGCAAAGCCTGAGGATCCAAAAAATTCATTATTGTTTTTATCACCCTAGAAAAATAATACCGTTAGACTTGAAAACCTAAGCATTTTGTGGTTGTTTGTTTTTTCTTCTTCTTAAATGCCTTCAAAATTTCTATTTTATTAAAACGATTTATCATATTCTGGCTTTGATTTCCTATAGCCTGAAACAAAATCCATTGCCCTTCAAATACTGTCATTATGGTTGACTATAATCAGGAGGGATTATATGGACCAATGACACACTGATTTCCTCCAAGATGTTTGTGAGCAACGTGTTTAAAAAACATTATTTCATTCTGTATTAAACATTTTGTTCTTTATTAGGTAGTAGAGGCAGAGGGGCATGAAAAAACTGTCTTCAATTTTACTTGTATTTATTATAATTTATAAGTCTGGATAATCAACTTTAATGTTTGTTGTGCTAGCAATTAGTATCACGCTTATACACAGATGGTGCATTGTTCCTCTGCTACAGAAAGGACCTCTCTGAAGAATTAACAACAACACTGATTTGCAAAATGCTGAATATTCAAAATTCCAATTGCTTAAGAAAGCTGATATTAAACCAATTTTATGGAAAAAATTTACCTCATCTACCACTCTACACTTGCTGCTGCTATTTTACTTGCAAAAGCTGAATTGCGGCTTATAATTAAGATACATAATTTTACTTCCTAAACAAAAGATTGTTAACTCAAAGCTAGGTTAAAGTACCTGCTCTATTACACATTTCTTACAGCTTTTAGGTTAGAGTGAACTTCAGTACAGATCCTTGGCGGATTTTGTGCTGAATCTGATATAGATTAAATTTGTTATGCACTTTTTATTACAGACCTTAGCCTCATCAGTTAGTTTGAAGGTGTCTCTTGAAATGTGGCTGTTGAAACTGAATACTGGGATTGCAACCAAAACCCTTAGATCCTCAGGAGTTTTTTTTTCTTTCCACCCTGCTAGCTATTAAACATATTATTTTTGAGTTCAGAGTGGCTATGCTGCAGAGAAGCCCAGATGAGCTTCTGATGCTTGTTTCGGCTGTGGCATGTTTGGTTCGCCCTTGGCCAGTCTGCACAGGCTCGATAAAGGGCTCTTCTAATTCATTGAGGATGGTCATGCTTTTCTGCAGTGAAGAGTTCTGGCTTATGACTCTCCAGAGCATATCTTTGTATGTAAATGGATTCTTAAGAGTTGTCATCTCTTGCAATTTCTATTTTATTTTCCAGATTCT